AAAAAATGACAGATGTTGTCAAGGATGCAGAGAAATGGGAACATTTATTCACTGTTGGTAAGAATGTAAATTAGTATACTACTAATAGCAGACCTCTGTGGAAAACAATATGGAGATTTCTCAAAGAACTACTAATAGAAGTACTATGTGATTCAGATATCCCACTTACCCAAAAGAAAAGAAATCAATGTATAAAAAGAGATATATGCACTCATATGTATGTTGTATCACTATTCACAATAGCAGGTATGGAATCAACCTAAGGGTCCCTCACGGAGGACTGAATTTTTTAAAATGTGGTATATATACATAATGGAATATTATTCACCCACGAAAAAGAATGAAATCATGTCTTTTGCAGCAACATGGCTGTAACTGGGGCCATTATCTTAACTGAAACAACTCAGACACAGAAAGACAAATACAGCATGTTCTCACTTATAAGTGGGAGCTAAATAATGTGTACACATGGAAACAGAGGGTGGAATGATGGACTCACCGTGATGGTTGAGTAGGAGGGATTCAAATATGGGAGGTGCTTAATAGGTACAATGTGCATTGCTCCAATGATGGATGGACTGAAGTCACTGACTTCACCACCTTGCAATATAGATCAATGTAGCAAAGTTGTACTTGTACCACATGAATATATAGAAATAAAAAATAAGGGGGAAAACCAAACACACAGTACATACTAAATAAACACACATGTACATATATACATGTAAATTATACACATATATGTAATTTACACAAATATATGATTTATCTTAATATATGCATATATAATATATTTTACCAAAAATACATAAACATATATTGTTAAGTGCCTGAAATGTGCTAGGAAACAAATGACTTGTGCTAGGTCACCTTGTAAGAGAGAGTTCAGCTTGAAAAAAGGTCTCCTGTCTCCCAGGGAAAATAAGTATATGGCTTTTTCCAAAAACCCACCAATCTCATGCTTTCTATTTCTTTATGCCATGTAAAGGTTCTCTCTGGGCTCATTATGAAAAAGCAAAAAGATTACACATATATATTAGGATGACAAGTGACTGCATATAACAAAAATGGAACTATGGGTTCTTAATGAATGGGTTTTCTCCTTCTCTTGTAACAAACAGGTGATGGGTCAGGGAGAGAGTGGTCAGTGGGAAAAGAGGGAGAAATGTCCTTGGTCCTGGAGAAGAAGTTCAGGAGGGCCACTGCCTGGACATGTCCAGAAGCCTGAGATGGCTCTGGAGCTACTTGATGCCTTCTAGCTTCTTGTTGCAACACCCAGTGTGTGATTTTCATTCTCATAGAGAAGAGATGGCCAATCCACCAGCAGACATCTTGCCCAATCTTCGGCAGGCAGAAGGGGATGAACCTGTCTCTTGTTACTCAGAGAAGAGGGCCTTCCCTGCAACCCCACAGACATCTACCTACATCCCACTGCCCAGATCTGTGTACCATTTCAAGACCTACCTAAAGTGAGGGTGGAGAGCCAAGAATTTTTAACTGGGCACGTGGCTGCCCTGAACAGAACCAGCGTTCTCTTTGAAGAGGATAAGAAGGATATTGGGAGGAAACTGATATTTGTCTCATTCTCTGTAGCTTCCTCGCACTGGATCTCATCATCCTCTGTGGAAGCACTATGGACTGAGAGGCCACAGATAAGAGCTTCTATGTCCTGTGGTCTGAGGTGAATTATTGCCACAGGCTCAAGATATGGGTGGGGACTCAGGTCTCTCAGGGTGTGGACACACAGAGCCAGTATTGGCATTCACAGAGGCCCCTGTGATGAAGGGTGGATATGTCACTGAGCAGAGTGTTTCTGCCCACTCCAGGTTCCCAGTCCCCCTGCCTGGCCTGACAGGGCACCTCAGCAATGGAACAAGGTGATTTCTTGTTTAGAACATGTGCACAGTGGCCACCAGGTGGCACCAACACACACTCCTGCTGCTAAGCAGAGGCTACAGGAAGCACTCAGGACTGGGGGTTGTTTGTTCATTCTCTAGATCTTTCTCACAACCTATTTGAATCCTCAACACTCTCCTAAACTGGGGGAGTGCAAAGTGGTTCTTGTATATATGCAAAGATCCATTTGCTTTTGCTATTACTATATCATGGGTGGATTCATTCGCTCATTCACTCATTGATCAGAGTCACAGCCAGCCCTGTTGTGTACAGGACTGAACTAGTGAATACAAAGAATGAACAGTTACCTCCACCATTGGTTCATTATTCATATCTCTTTGAAAATCTTTAGTGGTTGTCTTTGGTATGCAATATACATCTACCTCCAAACAATATAATACCAATTATAAGACCTTACTTCAGTGTACATTATATTCTTATTTCCCATCTTTGTGCTATTTTTGTCATTATTTTGCTTGTAAGTGTTCTCTACACTCACAGTACAATGGTACTATTTTCACAGTGACTTAATATAAAAAAATCTAACTTTTATTTTAAAGATTTCTATAGTGTTCACTTTGTATAGATCCAAATTTTTTCATTGTATCACCTACCTTCTACATAAAGAACTTCCTTTCATGTTTCTTGTAGCACAGGTATGAAAATAATAAATAATCTCAGTTGTTTTTCTGAAATATTTTTTTGAATAATTTTTTGCTGGATAGAGAATTCTGAGATGTGTTTTCTTTCAGCACTTGAAAGGTGCATCTTCTTCTTCTTCTTGTTCCTTTTTATTTTTTTGCTTCCATAGTTTCCAATAAGAAACCTTCTCTAATACTTTTCTTTGATTCTCTGAATATAATGTCTTTTCTCTCTAGCTGCCTTCAATATTTTCTTATTAAATGTTTAAATATGTATGTTGATGTTATTGCTTAATCCTATATTGTTCCCTGAGATTCTTAGATCCATGCTTTGATGTCTTTCATTATTTTTGTAAAATTTTACATTTTCATGTAAAAATAATTTATAAATATTTTTTTCTGCTTGTTCTTTTTCTCTTCTCTTTCTGGTATTGTAGTTATACATATGTTGGACCATTAGATATTATACCACCACTCTTGGAAGCTATGTCCTTTTTGGGTTTTTTTCCACTATTTTTTCTCTTTTTATTTAAGTTGGATAATTTATATTGATTGACCTGTCTTCAAGTTCACTTATTCTTTCCTCAACTGTGTCATGTCTACTGATGAATTCATTAGGGGCATTCTTCATTTCTGTTAGTAGTTTTTCTTTCATTTCTAACATTTCCAATGGCTTCTTTCTTATACTTACTACCTCTCTGCTGAAATTCCCATCTATCCTTGTATATTTCCCCTATAGTTATTTTAAATTCTCAGCCTGTTAGTTCTGACATCTAGGTTATCTCTGAATCTGGTGCTGTCAATTGCTTTGTCTCTTGTTAATGGGTTTTTTTCCTTGCTTTTTTTGTGTTTGTCCAATTTTAAATTCAATGCTTGACATCATGTGTGAGAGACTACAAAGTGAAGTAAACAGTATTTATGCCTGGAAATGGGCACACCGTATCTCCTACAAGACTGATTGCACAGGAGCATGCATGCGTGTTGGTGTGTCAGTGTGTGTGTGTGTGTGGTTGTGTGTGTTGGGGAATTTAAGGTTTTATAGTAAAGAGATAAGCAGGGCTTGGGTGGGGCTGTTGCTATGGTTATTTTAAATACACCATTGTCTTCAAATTATTTTAATGTTACCTTGTGCTTGATTGCTTACTCTGGGGTGCTTGTATTAGGGTGGGTTTTCTGAAGGATTTTGTTGATGCCTTGTTTCACTACTTAGGCTTAGGCCTTCCCTGTGTACCTGCTGATACTTGATAATTCTGGTGACAATTCTGTTGTCTTGGTCTAGCCTCAGTCTTAGGCAGGCCCTGTGGTCCTCAGTTTTGGAGATAGAACTTTCTCAGTAATCTTTCTCCTCCCCAGCAGTAAATACCAATGAACTGGACCCAGAATGGTATGTTGTCCCTTGCCCAGGGGTTTTTCAATTTTTTCTTATCCTCAGCTTCAGTGCCTAGAAGGCGACAAGGTTTGCTGGCCTTTTCCCAATAACTGAAAGATTTTTTTCCTTGGAGGTGTACGGTCAGAGCAGGGTTCAAGCCTGCACCCCTGGGGGAAGATTTTCTCCTGTCTTTCTTGGAGCACCTGAGAGAGGTCCAAGGAGAAGAGTCTCTGTGGGTTTAAACTCACAATTAGGTATATGGTTCTCAGGGATTTTATGCTCTCATATGAGGCCACACTTGGCCTTTCATACTTGATTATACTTTTGAAAGATTCTACTGATTATATCAACATTGTCTTTAGCCTGTAGATGGAAGGGAAGCCAGTGTTCACATCCCACATTTCCTGTCTTCCCTTAAATTCCAGGGTAATCATTTGTCTTGCAATTTCAGCAGTTTCATGCACAAAAAGTAATGACTTAAAAATAATCCAGCTGCTTCTTGTTGTCAGGATAGGACTGACACTCTAGAACTTTCTACATCCCAGCAGAATTAAGAAATCACCCTGAGATTCTAAAAGAGACAGTTACAGGATGACACTTCAGGGACTTATTCCAAGGTGGTCACTATCTGGACTTAAAGTGGTCCAGACTACAGAGGGGCTTCAGACCAGTTGTTGGAAGAAACAGCATCATGGAAGGGCCTGGAAGGCCAGGGTGTATATTGAGGAAGGCACTGCACACCTGTGTGAGGGTCAGTGAAGGCCATGCAACACTGCCACAGGATCCACATGGCACCTCTCCCTCTTCCCCTCATCCAGGTGCACACTCATCCTGTGCCACCTCCACCTCCAAAAATACTACAACTTGAGGGAGGAATGCTGCATTCTGGCCATCCCAAATCCTACCAATGGAAGTTGGTGGGGGCTCAAGACATGGGGCCTGTCCAGAGTCCCCTTAGCACCTCCCAGGGCCCAGCCTTCTGGGTGCTGCTTGTCTAGAGGCCAAGCCATCCCCAACAGAGGCACGTTCCTACTGCTGGCATCTCCCTCTCCTCTGAGGAGAGTGCATTAATCACTAGCCTGAGACATAAACACTGATTTGGCCTCTAAAAGAAGATTTATTCCCACAATTAAGGTGACAGGGCAAAAACCGCCCCTCCCTGCCCTGTGTCCACCCGCAGCAGACAATTCTCCAGCCCCCACAATGCAATGCTCTCTGACCCCCGATCACCTTCTGTAGAATAGCCCTGTCTTGGCTCCTCCAGGCTCTGCAGGCTGGTGGGGCCTCCTATTCAGAGCTCAGTGTGTTCTGTCTGTGGTGGCTTCTCCATTGCCAGGAGCTTGGTCCAGAAAGCCACTTCCTTCTCCTTCAGCTTCTGGGCTGCCTGGGTGGGGACATCAATCTGCAGGTACCCTTCCTTCTGGTCGTATGCTGGCCAATGGGGCAGCCCCTCCCCATTGGGGTTCCTGGGAACAGAATCAAATAGAAACTGCTTAAAGCTGCCGTGTGGTCCCAGCAACCCTCTAAGATATACAGGAATCTACTGACTCATGTCTTACAAGAGGCTCGTGCACCTCCAGAGACGGGGAGCTCACCATCCTGGGGCAGCCTGTTTGTTTTCAGAGAACTCTCATTGTCAGAGCACTGTGCTCACAGGGTGGGGAGTTTGATCACTCAAACTGTAGAAACTGTCCTTCCCCACAGATCCACCTGCCCCCACCGACCCTGCCCCACCTTTGCCACCAGCCTCACCCATTTCGAGCAAAGTTGGCCCAGAATTTCATCACCGTCTTGCTAAGTTGGATCTCTTCTTCTGAAGCACCATCTGCAGAAACAAGAAAAAAAACATCTTCTATGCATAGTGTGGTTCATGGTTCAGTAGAGTTAGCATCACTTGGGAGCTTGTTACAAACACAGAGTCTGTGCCCTTACTCCATGGACACTGGGTTAAAATCTGCATTTCAAGAAGATCTTGGTTAATATGACTGCACTGTATGTATGATGATGAATGATCTAGAACTCAGCAATGGGCGTGCAGACAATCCATGGGCTAGCTGCCATTGTCTTTTGTGACCCCTACCTGCCTCCTCCCCACTCAGGGTCCCAATGCCACACTCAAGGCTTTCCTCTACAGGAACCCCACCGCCCAGGGTTGCTCTCTCTTAGAAATTTTCTCAATCTCCTACACACACCCACAGTTTCACATCTGTAAAATAACAGAGCTGCAAAGGGCCTAAGAAACCACCAGACTGAGAGATGCCCAAAGGCACTGGTGGGTCATGAACAGCCAGGACGTTGGTCACAGTCATCCATTACTGCTGAGCGTTAAGGTATTGAAGGTATTTGTGAAAGATTTTCTTTAAAATATTATGTTATTAAATATTTTAAAGTTAATGATGTATGTTCTTCATAAAGAGACAGACAGATAAACAGACAGACACACATCAGACTCAATTCAGTGTTAACACCAATTCTAACCTGAACCTCACTCACATTCTGATATGCTCTTGTGAGAGGGAAACGTAGTAGTGACATTCTGGCCCTGGAGCAGGCCCTGCAGGTGACCCACCACCTGCCTTACTGATGGCACAGGCCTGGGTTCTGAGAGTGGCCCTGGCTGAGGGCACATGAGTGCACATCCTCCTTCATGCGTGTTAGAGCAGGAGGAAGGGTGGGGACTGCCCAATGTCATTAATCCCTGTTAGAGTGAATCGGGAAACTAAGACCAGGAGAGAAAGAGAAACTTGCTCAAGGCCTCCAAACCAAGATGGAGTACACATCTCCTAACTCCAGGCTCACAGCCAGCAAAGATCCCTTACCTTTTAAAAGTGGCGCTCCGAAGACAGAGAAGATCTCATCCCCGTGGTCCCCTCTCACTGTCTTGGGTTTCACGACTGATGAGAAGCTCGGGCGATACTGAAACTCATACATGTAGGTGGGGGCTCCGGAATCTGAGAAGACATGGATTCATGCACAGTTCATGTTACCAGACACACCCCTGCATGGTGTCAAGGTCCCCGGCCCTGCAGGAAACTCCTGGTGATCAGCACAGTAGAGAAACAGTTTCAGAAAAATTCAGTGACTTCCTGAGGGCTGCTTAGCTGGTTGAGGTAGAATTGGGATTTGAGCCAGGTATTTGTGAGCGAGTGAAGGAGTTAGTATATGAGTGAATACTAAATAAATGAATTTTAAAGCCCTGGGTTGACCAATGTAAAATAACTATCATTATGGGACACTGGGTCCCTTTGCCGCATGATGCATTCTCATACATGCAAATCTATATACATCCAGTTTATACTATTTTATTCATTGATAAGACAGGGACTAGTGTTCATTCACTTGGGGTATATATACACCCTGATATTTGTCTTCTATTCAGCCTAGTTTTGATCATTTCCAGTGGTTTTTTTTTAAACCATTTATGAGAAGAGTGACACAAATTCAAATTGCTTGTCTGAAAACAAGGATATTTAAATACAAACATAGGCAAAGAGAGAACAATGGGGTCTCTCATTACTCAGGAAACCACAAAACTCAGCACTTTTTATTTCACTGTCTCCTCATATATTTTGTTTCCTGCTTGGCCCAGGGAGTGTTAAGGCTTTAAGGCTGTTAATGTGGTGGAGATGAGAAGGGGCCGTGGAAGGGAGACTGTCCTCTCTCCTGATCTCACCTCCTCTCTTTTGCCTTCCTCTAACCCCTAAACCCACTTGTCCAAGCCCCAGGGAGATGTCAGTCTTTCTACTGACTGGCTCACTGGAGCCACCAACCCCTGCTCCTCAGGAATAACTCATGGGCCATCCAGCCCTGTAGCTCAGCACTTTGCATTGGTCATAATGTCCACAGAGGAGTGACCCTAAGAGAGAAAGAGTCAGGCCACAACTGGGTTGGTGGAGAAATTTTATAACTTTTCCCACTATGGGTACAGTAAGAAATTTAGAAAATACAGAAAAGAAATTGAACAAAAAATTTCTCACAATTCCACCACTCAGAGATAGGACATTTTAGTATTGTAGCCTATCTCCCTTTTGTGTTTGTAAAATTGGAATGATACCATATATGCTATTTTGTAACATACTATAATCATCTCTTAACATCATTAAATATTCACCCAGAAAAAATTTACCAATGTATGTCATCCCAATGTGAAAATGAAGAATAAATTATTTAATCATCACCTTCAGCCTCCATCACTGCACCCTTGGTCTAACAAAAATCGTTGCTTGGAACAGGCCATCCTTCTGAGGTCTGCAGTGCACTGGTTAAATGTCTGCTTCAAGGTCAAGCACAACTTGCTAAAAGTAGGGTTTGACCTTGCCTCTGCCACTTTAATGTTTTACAATGGAACTCAGAGCTCAGCCATAAAGAGAAGAACTTTTGTGAAGGAGAGAACTTATTTTAGGCAGCATGCTTCCCAAAAGACATTTTTTAAAAAAAACCTTTTGCCTAAAACCACTAAGATTTATAAAATTTATACAATCACAACAGAAGTCTTTGAAAGAAAGTAAGGAACAGATTTGGGCAATAACAAGTAGGAAGAACTAGTGATGTATAGACAGTGAGAAAGCTAGTAATCAAAGACATGCAAATTAAAATGTAGTATGATGTTCTTTTTTTGGTGGAAGGGGGCTTATGAAATTGGCAGCATTCTTTTAATTTTCAATCTTAGTATCCCAGGTGACAAAGGGAGTGAAGAAATCCACACTCTTACATACTGGAGAGCAATTTTGCAACATGCATCAGGAGCTTCAAAATGTTCCTATGGACCAGCCTAGTAATTTCACATAAAAAAAACCTTAGATAATTATTAGACATGTAGTTGGAAATTTATGCATACAAAGCCGAGAATACTAATGTTACTGACAGCCCCAAATTATGAGCAGCCAAACTAAATATCCAACTTGATAGAAATATTAAATTTTCATATATCCATTTGATGGAAGAATAGATGTTTTTCACAGGTTTTTAAATTAATATTAAGGATATCCTTACCTCATTTACAATTAGAATAAAAAAAGAAAATCATCACAACATGGCATTGTATGGATAGAACTATAATAGAAAATTAATTTTTATATAATATGAGATGAAAACATTTTTAGAAGAAAATGCCAAAAATATTACAGCACATACCTGCAGGTGGAGGGCTTAAGATAGTTATCTAATTTCTTCTTTATGTGTTTCCATATTTTCTAAACATTCTATAATTGAAACATTAACTTTATATTCAGAAGCTATTTTTCTCAAAAAGAGTGACACAAATACAGAAAAATGAAAGTTGATAAAATCTATATAGTCCTGGCAAAAAGACCCAGCAACTCAAAGACAAGAAATATCAGATAAAAAACACAAGTCGAGTGTAGCCAGAGCCAGCAGAAGACAGAGAAGAGAACTCCACAGATCAGACACAGGGCAAGAGGCAAAACTAAGTTCATAAAGGAACAGACTGAATCCCACTCAGCCCCTCAGGACCCTCAGGAGGGGGAAGTGGAGATGAGCACCTGCACCTTCCTATAGGGTGTTGTGTGTGGGCACAGACTAGGTCAGCTGTAGCTAGCTTTTAGCAAGCTTATAAAGTCCTGTATTTTAAAATGCTTCCATCATGGTGAAGAGGGTAGTCTGGACACAGAACCCTTTGCTGGCTTGCAGACTAGCCAAAGGAGAGCTGGTAGGAAAAGGCAGGTCTGGCAGGATCCCCAAATGGCACCAAGAAGAGGACCCCTTTCCAGGTGAGCTCGTGCATCCTTAGGTTACACCACATCCACACAGCCTCAGTCAGTGTCAGAAAGTTCCAGGGTAGACCCCACCCTGGCCCTCTTCTTGTCCATTCCAGCACACAAGGAGGGAGAAAAGCCCAAGGCCACAGATACTGACATTCTCCAGACCACCCAACCTGCTACTGCTCCCTCCATTTGGCCTTCTTGGTCCTGGACAACCATCTTGATCCTGTGTTTGTCTCCCACTGTTCCCCAGCTCCACTAGTTAAGAAACTAGTTTGCAGTCAGCTCTGACCTTGGAAACCGTCTGAGACCCGTTTTCCAGTATTTGTCCTCTAGCCCCACACCCCACCATGACCCCAGGTAGGAAGCCCTGGTAGCAGACGCTGTTGGTGCCTCACCCACAGTGCCCACATGCCCTATTTCTCAGCCTGCCAGGCTGATGACCACCACAGGCACCTAGCTCTTTGCCTGAGGCCTTTGTTAGGCCACCAGAGACTACTCTGCCCATGTGTGCAGCAGGTCACAGACAAGGGAATTAACTCCTTGAACAGCTTTCAACCAATGACAACTGAGAGCCGGTGGATGAATACCCCACCTCCCCCTGCTCAGAAGGGACAACCGTGAGTTGTGTCCTCTGCTTGTTTCCCAGAGCTCCCAGCTCCAGCTGTGCACAGTGGGCACGTGCTTGGCAATGCATCACGGTTGTCTTCCACCCCTTCCCTCTGACACTCCCCCACCTCCCTGCTGCTGCTTCCTGGGATCCCCTGACCAATAAACTACATGCATTTGGACCATTTTCTCAGTGTCTTTTATAGGCAGAAACAAAGACAGGACACCACACCCCATGCTATATGGAATCTGCCCGTGAGGCCTGACCCCTGGCAGTGTCCACATCTGTCTATGCTGGGAGGCGGGCAGGTCAGATACCAGAGCTGGTGGAGTCAGTGTTCCTCTCCTGTCTAGCCTCTGGGACTCACCTCTGTGGTGTCGGGCCACGATCACAGATGGAACACCAAATATGACATCTCCCATCAAGTCCAGGAACCGGTCTTTCTTTTTGACAAGGTCATCTGTTCCTCCTAAATATTCCTCAATGGCTACTGAAGTCAGCTCCTCAGGGATGCCCTGAAATAGACCAAGACAGTGCCCATGTGCCCCTGGTGAGCAGTGCAGCTCCTCTGGCCCGTGGGCGAGGCTGGCACTGATGGAGAACCTCTCCCGCCCTGGGCAGCTTCCCCCACCCACCCGCAGGATGATCAAGTGAGGAAGGTAGAAAAATGGGGGCACGACCCCCAATCCCCAGCCTCCATTCTGCCATTTAATCAATCTGTGATTTGGGACAAGTCCCTGTCCCTGTTTGGTCTCAGCTAATTCCCATGATTCCTAGACTCTTACGACAGTGGTGTAGGACTTCCCCAGGAGTGACGTGGCCATCTTCTGATCCAGTTTGCCTTCAGAAAGCGGATAGCCCATCAACTATTAAAAAACATGGTTAAGCATTTGTGAATCATCGGAAATGAACAACAGCCAAACTCACCAACCAACCACACCAACAAGAGCTGTAGGTCCGCTAATTTTGTTAGGCCTTGAAAACCATGAGGATTTTATGAATTAAGAAAATCAATTAATCAAATGGACTTACATATAGAAATTCAAGGATTGCAAAGAGGGTAAAAAAATTTAACAGACTGGAAAGTTGTGCAGTGTGAGTACGTGTGAATGTGTGTGTGTTTGCTCATGAAACTACAATGGACCCAGCCGCCCCTTACAATGCCTACCTGAGAAAGCTCGACTTACTCTTTGCTGCAGTCAAAACATGGGGACAGGCAGAGGCCCTGGGCGGCTCCCAGAGCAGTTCCTTTAGAAAGCTTCCAATTATAAGGCCTTTCTCTGCCCCTCATGATGCAAATCTAACACCCAAACTCTTTCCTCAAGGACCTGAGAGGCGTCTCTATTAGGTGCAAACCTTCAGGGAGGTCACCCTGGGTCTCCCTCCCAGTCCTGTGGAGATTACAGCCTCACTTCAGGGAGGGCCTCACTTCATCTACACCACTGCCTCCTGTCTCTCCTCCAGGTAAGGGTGGACTCACACGCCCAGGTGGTCTGGCCTCACTGACTAACCACCCAACTCCGCACCCCACGGCGCTTTCCCTCAGCACAGCCCGGGCTTTAGGACATCTCCGGCCTTTGTTTCAGGGATTTGAGGCCCGTCCACACTGGACAATTCCCTATTGCAATAGTGTTACTGAATCAAACCTGCCTACTGCTCTAACTGGGGTTGGCTTTGTCTATCTTGGATGGGAGGGAAAGTCTTTCTGTGCGTTTAGAGTCAATCTTAACTCAAGGAGAACCAACTTGCTCTGAGTCTCTCCGGAGATATGACTGAGCACATGTGCGGAGATTTATGGGAAACTGCACACCAGGCCCAAGGTGAGAAGCTGCTGGCCCAGGCTTGACTCGCCTCAACTCCCGAGCTCCTTCCCTGTTCCAGGCTCCTGTGTTTCCCATCTGCACAACTGTGACCTCCGCAAGCCCTCCCAGCACAGACACTGCAGGATTCTTTCATTGGAAGACGATCAAAGAATCTTGGGGAGAGGGGTTCTCAGGTCACAGCTGGGCCATCTCAGAGAAGGTTTCCATGGAAATGACAATCCATGAAGAAGGGGACAGCTGCCCTGGACTCAGAGCAATGCTTGCTGAGGAAAGGACGTCTGCGGCCAGAGCTGGGAGGGCTGATGGGGAGAGCAGAGAGTCTGCCTAAGAGGCGGCACGTGCTCACCGTTGGAAGGATCCAGCCACACTCTTGCTTGTTAATGCCAACAATGTAGGGGACAGTGTTGAAACTCTTCTCAGCCAGAATCTCTTCAGGGGATTTGGGCAGCATGACTCCATCCACCACCGTGGGCAGGAAGGGGTGACTCTAGGGAAGAGAGCAGGATAGCGTGTGAGCTTCCAGGGAACAGCCCCGTCCCCCTCTGCCTGTCTGAGGGCGAGGGCAGCACGTGGACCTGCGTGGCCCCGGGCAGTGGCCACAGAAGCTCGGGGTACCGACCAAGGGGGCAAAGTGTGTGTGTCCCCAGAGGGTGGGACTTCAGCCAGGGGCTGGCAGTAAGAAGGTGGCAAATCTTGACTCAACTCGAAATACATGTATTATAGACTGTGTATCAATGTTACATGTTTCAATTTGAAGCATGTGTGTGTCTCTCCAAGTTTATCTGCAGAGGATCCTCGTCATTCCCGACAGCCATGTTGGGTTACACAGGTCTCTGAATGCCTGATGCGCATGCACACACGCTGAGTCACCACCGGAAGCGGAAATACAGGGCTAGGTCCTGGGAGCCTCTGGTCACAGTATATTCACCAACCTTATTTATGCGTGAGTTTCTGTTTAAAGACATTTCGTGGAATAGCCATTTCTTTAAATAACTGTTAAATGCAGTGTTTATCTGGAATAAACACCGAACAGGGAGGCCTTCTCGTTTTCCTGACCCCGCATGACGCGGCTGTAGATGTTTTTGGTTTCAGCCCCGCAGCGGTGCCGTCCCCGGTGCTTTCTACAAAATCGCTCATCAACTCCTCAGTCCGCGGACTTAGCTGCGTTTCCATCCTTGCCGCAGCTCCTCGGGCCCTGCAGACGCTACCGCTTTCCACACTGGCGTCAGGTGTGGACGGGCAGCTTTCCTCCCCTCTTTCCCGGCGTGCTGTGCTGTTCATTCATCGATCTGAACTCACGGCCACAGCACTACGACTGGCTGCTCAGCAAAGCTCGGCTGACACGTGCATTTCCGCGTCACGCACATCACAGCGTCCCTGAGCTTAGGAACACGGACAGCGCTGCGGCCGTTCCCTTGGGGACACTGAAACAGTGAGATCTCTAACCAACACAGAGCACAAAATGCAAACAAGACGGCACTAAATGGACTGTGAAAAGGACCCTTGGTCGTGTGAGAGGAAATACAAGAAGACTGAGTGTTGCCTCATTAGATCCGTTTGAGACACTGTGGTTTCCAGGGCCTGTGTCTGCTCTGCACAAAGCAATGAGTGACAGTCAGTTGTGGCTGGTGACAAGTGGGGTCTGTATGGAGAACTCAACCAAGCAGGACAAGGCCAAATCCTAATCCAGTATGTTTGATTATAGAGAACAGGATCGGATGTGACTATGGCTGCCTTGAAAGGCTGTGAAGTTCTCTGTCATGGGAATCCCACAAGAGGACAGGCCATGGGGGGGAGGAGCTCACCATCTCCCATGGGCTTCAGGCAATGAAAGGGATTGAGAGTTGAGGAAAGTGGAGGTAGAAAATAGTAAAAGAGCCGAGAGAGACAACGAAGGCCTGAGTGGGGCGGCACCCACAGGGGGAAGACTGGCATCAGCAGCAGTGACAGTGGCAGTAATTATACCATCCACTCAGTGCCTGCACGTGGCGACCCCGTGTGGGCCATGTGTATGACCTTGCTTAGATAGGAAGTTCCAAGCGTCCCTCATTCCAGTCTTTTTTGCCCCTCTTGTGCTATTTGTTAGCAGCTCCTATCAGCCAGTCCTTCATGTTGTCCAGACTCCAGCCATGCCCATCCCACTGCTGTGGCCTCATCTCAGCCGCCAGGACCCCTGGCCTGGATGGTTCCAGCACAGCAGCCTCCCAGCTGGTCTCCCTGCACCTTCTAGACCCTTCCCGACAGTCTATTTTCGACACAGCAGACAGAGACCTTTGTAAAACCCAAGATCACGTCTCTCCTCTGTTCAAAACCCTCCGAAGCCTCCCCTCTCACTCCAAATCCAACTCCAAGTCCTTCAAGTGACCACCCCCACCTCACCCCCACCTCCAACGACCTCTTGAGCCCCTAGCCCGTCTGTGCCCTGACTCCTTCCTCTCCAGCCCTGCAGACCCGCCTCCTGCCTCAGCGAGGACCAGCACAGCAGCCGACCCTTTGCCCGGACAGCTCCTCCACTTTCCCTCACAGCTGCCTTCCCTCCTCTGAGCCTGGTCACATGCCACCTTCTCATTAGCCCTTCCCTGACCCTGCCATGTGAGTTCCAACCGCTGGTGAACTCCGTCCCTAACCACCGCCCATCACCAACACACTACGTATCTTGTTTGGTCTTTACTGTATGCCCCATTGGACTGGACGACTGTAAGGGGCAGGAACCTTGTGTGTTTCACTGCTATGTCCCCAGCTCCCGAGTCAGGGCCTGGCACATGGCAGTGCTTACAAAGCTTGAGCTGATTGGCTGCGTGACTCTCATTCAGTCCTCACAAGACCTGTTAAGGGGAAAGTGCTGTGATCTCCGGGGGGATCAGAGAGGCCAGGACTGGAAGATGCTGCACAGGTGATGTCAGCACACCCTGGCAACTTGTTGGGTGGACAACAGGAGAAGATGGAGAGGACACTATTGGGATGTCTTGGGTACTAGGAAGAGAGGGGTCCTCAGGCCTGAGATTCCAGGCTCCCCCTGTACAGATCAACCTGTGGCCTCCCAGGGGATCTGCACCCCTCAGGAGAGGCTCCTGTGACCTCTGACCCTCACAGTGGGAGATTCCGGTCCAGCCTGCTCTCAGGACCATGTTGGGCAGAGGAAACGTGAATATGAAGGGGGGTGGGGGAGCCCAGGGACTCTGACTTGATTCCTGGGGGCACTGGACTATGAGTCTGGGTAACGGATTCCAGTCCCCCCTCTGGTCCTCTAGCTGTGTTACCCCAGGCAAGTCACTGCCCCTCTCTGGGCCTCAGCACCATACAAATGAGGAGTTATGGGGGTTCCACAAGGGAGAATTCGTTCATTCAGAGTTAAAATGGAGCTTAAAGATGTTAAGACTCAAAACGTGTAATCAAGAAACCAAAGGTCCTTACCTCTCTGGGGTCTCCAACTAAATCGATCACAAAAAAGTTCTGTGAAGACAAAGGCGAGATGTGGTGAGAAGCTTCCCGGGAGAAAGCTGATCTCCGTGGCTGCACAGCAGAGGTGTCAGGTTCTCCCTCCTGGTGCCACCCTGGCAGGCGGGAGAGGAAGTGGGCAGGACACAGGCTCCACGGGCATGAGCACAGGGTTTAAGTGTCAGTGGGGGAGGGATGGGCACCAGCAAGGGAAGGACAGGCCCCTGGGACCCTGGCCAGGGTGGCTGGAGCTCTGGAGAGGCCATCTGCTGTTGGTGCCTGCCCTGCCCACCACCCATTTCCCCTTCTTGTTCCCAATTTCCTTTTGGGGGACTCCCCTCTTCCCCTCACTCACTCCATAAATTCAGGTATCTATATGCAACCCAGGGAGTTCCGTCTCCCTAAACACAGATAGTATATCAGGGATGGGCACTTACCCATGTCAGTCCAACAGAGTGTACCTCAAAACTTTTGCTAGAATTTTTGAGAAAGAGGGTTTCTAAGCAGGTTGTATATAAGTCTAGAGTGCTGCTATCTTTAACCTCCTCAGAGGACAAATCTGCCTGAGGGTGAAGCCAACACAGTGTAGTGCAAAATGAAAGGATAGAGACAGGTAGATTCCCAATAATATCCTATGAATATCTGGATCCAGCCATGCCTGAAGCCATCTAGTGCTGGACTTTTCCATTACCTGAATTGTTTTTTACAAAGATTTCTTTTTCTGCTCATTGCAACTTGAGTTTTCTCTCTTACATTAGAAATTCTGATCAAAACCTCCCTGAGACTCATTCCACCCCAATGCTTCTCTTTGTTTCACCAAAATTGCATGATTGCAATGTGCAGTATAGTTACCAGTCTGACCTCTATGCAGGAAGTGATGAGTGAGGGCTCCTCCATTATGGACTGTAGCACCACCAGATATATGTGGTGTTGTGTTTGTGTGCGTGCGTTGTGTGTGTGTGTGTGTGTGTAGTTTACTGGAGTCAGTGGAGAATCACAGAAGCATTTCACAAGATCTCAGAGATCTCTGAAGAATGTCCTGATACGTTAGATCTGGGTTTTCCAAAGGCCTCAAATCTTTCTTATAAGCTGGGTCCTCTGTGCCACATGGAGAACTGCTGAATATATTGGGTCTATTCAGTAATGATAATACAGTTGTTTTTAATTCTTTGAACATCTGGCCATCTCAAGAAGTGATAAACCAACACTCAAATCCTAAAGCCAGATGGATTCAACCCATGGACATGGAAGTAGATCCCAGAGCTAGAGGCCTGCCCTAGGGTTCCAGAAGTATCCACAGGTGTGCAGCCCAGAAAGGGTCCGAGACTCAGGCTACTGCTGCCTCCACAACTCACCCTTCTCCCACCAAAGGATGGCTCCATTGACCCTACATGCTGTATCCTTGGGCATTTGTCCTGTGAATCCCCTATAATGACAGACGAATGCACAGCCATCCATCAATCCTCCCATGTCACTTCTCTGTGAAGCATGTCTGATGACTATAAGAAATTTTCCCCTCCTTTACTCACCATATTCAACCTACTAGGTTATGGGTGTGTTTCTCCTGGTACTTCTTGTGAGCGACTATGTCCAACTATATCTGTATCACTTGCCTCGACATTCTCCCCACCCAGACTCTAGCATTTGATTGTAGATGGAGGATGATGTGATGGAGTTGGTCAATGCATGCGTTTGGTTAATGGATGGATACAGGAAAGATAAGAGATATAATAGAGGTAGGTTTATGGTAGATCATTGATTATGGAAGGAATGGTGATGAAGTGAAATATAACGGTACTGGATGATGCTGATGATGGATGAGTGAAATACATAATGAAGACTCATGGACTGGATTGATATTAGCTTGGTTATAGGTGGCAATGGAATCAGATGGATAGTGGATGAGTAGGTATCATAATAGATGGTGAATGAATGCATGAGTAGATGAATGGCTATACTGACATTGACACATTGAGGCACGAGTTTCAGAAAATCATATAATTGGGGTGACCATTGGTGTATATTGACATATTCGTAAATCAACAAGATAAATTGTGAACTCATTTCAGAAATTTCTGTGATAATATCCCCATGCCCAAATTCAGGATGGTGGCTAACCCCCTGGAATATGAATGTTTATTTCTAAAAAACCAATCGAAAACAAGAACGAAAAATTTAGGTTTGATTAAACTGTGGGATTATACGTAATTTTCACCATGTTATCTTTGGACCTTCTGATATACAGATATGCTCACAATAAAAAAAAAAAGAGAAATCTCTATTAAAGACGCCAGATGCCTCCTGAGAGGTAAAAAATGTCAGGGAGTTTTCAGGGCGAAAGGACAACTGAAAAGATGAAAGCCTGGGGCCATGACTACAGGCTGGGACTAGAACCGGACCCCACGTACCATTTTAAACGTGGCCTCCAAGAGCTCCTCCTCTGTCCTTCTGCGCAGGCAGTGAACCATGACACCGAGTGGTGTTTCTTTACACCCAGCATGACACACCAATTTCTGCAAAGATCAACAGGCAAGTAAAAGATCAAAGCAATGTCCTTCCCTCCATCAAGGTAGAAAGAGGTGTTCTGTCCCCAGCCAGCTTCTGAGCAGCAGGGGGAGCAGAAAGTACTCTAGAGCAGACGTGTGTTTCTGGGCCACAAGAGTGCGCCCTCCGTGCCTAATCTGAACGTGACATGAGTGGTAAGCACACACTCCCTCTGTGTGTTACCATTGAGCCTCCTGTTATAAAGAGCCTTAATGGCGCTCAAAGCTGGATCTCAAGAAAGCAGGTAGTGTGGAGGGGGGTGTAAGAGCATGGAAGGCCCAATCCCACTGTCTGGTTTCCCAAGGCCCAGTTCCTGCAACAGTGGCCATCCTTGGCCCCAGAAACACCTGAGTTTCTGTGGCCTCCGGTTTCTCCACCCTAAGGTGGCATAATGATCGACCCAACCTTACGAGCTAATGCATGGAAGAACATAGACGGTACTGTGTCTCCCCACACACCAAAACACCATGGCAGACTGCAGGAGGGCCAGATATAGGTGATTCACATCAAAGAACTTCCAGGAAGTATGGAATGTGAGTGAAACAGGAGCCCCTAAAGGAAAACAGCGGGCGTGTCTGTCCTGAGCGTGGAATGAGCTTCTCAGCGAGTGATGGCATCGGCCGGCACAGCTAAGAGTTTCCACCTGTGCAGTCACGTGCTGGAGTCCTGGGCAACAACTACACGTGACTGTGCAGGCAGGGGTCATACATTGTCACCAAAGGGACAAACAGTACATATTTGCGCTTTTGTGGGCCGTCTGGTCTGTGTTGCAATTTCTAAACTCTGCTGTAGTGAAATAAATGGGCGCCGCTGTGTTGCAACAGAATTTTATCTACAGACACTTGAATGTGAATTTCATACCATTTTTACAGGTCATGAAATATTATACTTTCCTTTTTTTTTTTTCTATTGCTTAACAATGAAAACAAAATCATTCTTAGCTCAAGGGCCATACAAACATAGGCCCATGTTTGTCCTCCCTTGTCCTAGGGCAAGCCATCGAAAGGTACCCATTAATGCGTGAAGAAGCCTGACCCCAACCTAGAACCCCTTCTCGTCTTAAAAAAAAGTAAGAAGAAAACCCTCCTGGAGGGAGAGGCTTCCTTGAGGGTTTCTTGGACACCGCGGGTGGTCTGCTCCCGCACACCTTCACCCCGGTTTTTCTGAGAGGCCCCAGGAGGGGCATCTCAGCAAAGCCAGGGCTGTGAGCCTCTCTCCTAAGTGATCTGGGTCCGAGTGTAGAACAGAAGAAAACCTGACTACTTTCTAGACCACAGGGCAGTCCCCAAGCCTAGGGCCAGGTGGGCTGGTCACAGGAACTGACAGCAAAGCTCAGCCAGAGAGGAAGGCACAGATGGACCCAAGACGGGCTCCGTGGTGGCAGGGCCGTGGGGAGTGCGCAGTGTCCCAGACACTGGACAGTGTCTGCTGCAGAGTCCCTGCTCAGAACCCACTTGGTGAATAAACCAACAGGAGGAGGGACAAGGGGAGAAGAGGGAGAGAGGGGGAGGGAAGAGCAAGAGTCAGAGAGACCTGGATTCCCCTCACTTTGCAATTTTAGCTCCTGTTTGTTCACAAAGCCCAGTCTCACCCCTGCCACCTCGGCTTCCTTGAAAATAAATTCCCCTTCTTGACTCAAGCCTGTGCCACCTGTTACTTATAACCAATGGATTCTGAAAAAACTCTCAAAAATTCTAAAACAGATGCTTGGCGTCTCCATTTCCTCCCCACCTCCTAATCAGCCCCTGAAGTCTGGGCTGCCCCAAACCAGCTGCCACAGCCCCATCCAGACCCTGCACCCCCCTGGTTCCAATATGCCCTGCTCAGCAGCGCCACCCTGTGGTCACCCCTTCCTCTCTTCCCAGCTCTCTTCAGATAAACACAAAATCCTCCCCAGGGTCCTGTGCAGGGAGGCCCTTGCCAATGTCCCCACCCTCAGCACACCCCAAGCTCCCAGTGCTCTGCGCTCTGGCCACACCAGCCTTCTCTCATTCTCAAGATGCTTCTTAGCCACAGGACATTTGCACGTGCTGCATCCTTTCCCTGGAATACTCATTGCTCGGCAATTAAATCATTGCTCAGCTCTGTCATGCTGACTTATTCATCATTTTTAAAAGAAGTCTTTCCCGATAACCTCTGAGGCACACTCAGGCCTGTGGTCATGGGCAGGGCATGCACTGGAAGTTCACTGTCACGGCTTTGCATGCCAGCTCTGCTTTGATCCTATGTCAACCTTGACATGTCACTTCCACACTCTGCTGTTTGCTTGGCTATAAAATTGGGAAGTTGAGCAAGGGGTCTCCTTGCCTTTTCCTTTTAGCCCATCTAGCCTCAGTATCTCTTTGAGAATGTCCTCTGAGTTTCATAGTGAGAAAGATCCCCAAGGATGCCAGGAGTGTCCTGTGAGAGACCTACCTCTGCCAGGGGCTTGATGTCACCCTTGTGGACCAGAGCAGAAGTGAGGGCCACACCACTCTCAGAAATGGCCCGGTGGAAGAGGTTCTTGGCCAGAGGAGATAAAACCTGGGAGGGGAGAAGACAGGAGGAAAGTTCATACTCAGGGCAGGGTCCACCCACAGCTCTGTCCTGGGGCTCAGAGTACAGGAGGGCTCCTCACCTGGCCTAGCCTGTTTCCCAGACTCACCCTGGGCCCTGCCTCCCCCAGAGAACCTCAGCGGGATGGAGCCGGAGCACAGAGCCACAGAGCCGGGGACGGAACAGGAGAGTGTGGCCCGCACAGATCACAGCAGTCAAAAGCACCAGAAAGAGAGCGTGGCAATGCCCGGGCATGTGGTCTGGTTCAGCATTTCCACTACGCAGAAGAAAAGTGACCAGGGAGGCACATGAAGACTTCTGAGGGTGCCCGTGCTGGTTACGGAATTGGAAATAACCCAAGGATCCCATACTATGAAATTGGGTAAATCAATGATTTATTTCAGTTACTGAAAAAACTGTTATGCAATTATAAAGACTGTTATGCAATTATAAAAGATAATATTGTGGGGGAGTGCTTAATGTTTAGGGAAATAATTTTGTTAGACTGAAATGTTATAGTGTGTTATACTAACATTTATGGTAATTAACGTGTCTTATGCTAATTAAGGAATGTCTTTTTGTAAAAAAAAGATAGTTGATATATGATAAATAGATACACACTGTCAGGAAAATAGACTAGAAAAAATATATGTCAAATGTCCACAGTGAGGACCCTGGGGAGGAGGATTGTGAATAGTTTTTTTCTTCTTTGAGCTGATCTGTATTTTTCCTTTCTCTCTACTTTAAAAATACGAAAGCATTTTCCCCGGAGTGTTGGAGTAGGAAACTGACACAGGATTGAAAAACACAGCAATGGGCTGACCCTCTGCTCAACTCCGAGGCCCCTGGAGGTTCCTCACAGCTCCCAGCACCTTCCAACCAGGTTTCCCATCCCAGCTGCCCTCAGTACCACCCCAGCCCCAGCCCCACACTGGCAGGACATCTCACACCCCCAGGCTGTGTCTGTGCCCCACATCCCCTGTCCCCTCCCTCCCCATCTTGTGCTCCATCCCTCCTTCCTCCCCCACCTCGCCCAGCCCACCTGGACCCTCAGCTCCACAGATGGCCACGTCCCTCTTGGGCGTGGGGGCCATCAGACCACCTCAGCTGAGGCTCCTGCCTGATCTCAGGGCTTGTGTCCCCTCAACACACAGTTATGGCTTCAAGCCAAATGATGACCTCTGTCCAATTCTTGTCCTTGCCTGCATATGTTCATAATTTATACCCACCCCCACCTCCCCAAAGAATGAGCTGAGTCCTGGTGTTAAAATGAGAAGGAAGGAAAGAGAGAGCTCAACCAAGGTGCCAGAGGAGGACTGCGGCCAGTGCAGGCTGGGGCCAGAGATTCTTGTGGCCCCAGGATATTAAACTGAGCTCTGAGCTTCCTGGTGGCCAAGGAGAGTTTGTACATTAGCTCTCCACTGCCTGATGCTGGGCAAGGAGGAGGGTCTGTCCCCAATCCAGGCCATGTAAGCAAAGGCGCCCGGGGCTGGGTGGGCTGGTCTCCAAGAGTTCCCATCAGTGGCCACATCAGCCTGGGGGTGGGGCCTGGTGCCAGGAACACTTACAAGGACAGAGACACTTTCGCTTCCTGCTGACTCTCCAAAGATGGTCACAGAGCCTGGGTTCCCTCCAAAGTTGGCGATGTTGTCCTGGACCCAGCGCAGCGCGGCCACCTGGTCCAAGTGGCCCCAGTTTCCCCGGCTGTGTTCGTCCCCTGTGCTGTGAGAGAACAGGCTGGGGTGGGCAGCACAGACGCCATGGCAGGGGTCTCGGGACTAGAGACGGGTGGGGGCTCTCGGTGGTCCTTCCAGAATAGGCTGGGCTTCCACACCCCTGACACAGGGTCTTCCCCTGCCTGCCAGTGCCAGCATGTGCCGTTGTAGGGCTCCACATTCACTCATCTCCACATGATTTACTGAGCATCTACTACATGTGAGTCTCAGGGAAGGTGATAGCTCAGGGACTGGCCCAGGATGACCCATTGGTAGGCACAGCAGTGCCCAGCACGGTCCTAGGAGCTAGAGCACAACTGAGAACAAAATAGGGAAAATCTGTGACTACAGTAAGCTCTCAGTACACACTACAAACAAACAGATAAATATATAATAAAATACCAGGCAGTGAAAGTGTTTTGAGGCAAAATAAATTGGGGTGAGGGGAAAGGCAGGGGTGGGGAGTGGGTGCTACTTCAGATCACATGAGCAGGGAAGGCCTCTTGGACACTGTAGCATTTGAGTAGAATCCTGAATGAAATGAGCATGTGAGCCTTGCCAATATTCAAAGAAGACAATTCCAGGCAGAAGAAACAGCAAGTGCAAAGGCCCTGGGGCCCAGCGAGCACAGTGTGCAGATAGGAGGGGAGGGCGCTGTGGGCCTGCAGAAGCATGTTGCATGTCACCCCAGGTGATGTGGGAGCCACCTTAGGTCTGTGCCGAGGAATGACGTGACTCAATCTATGCCTTATCTGATCCATCTGGCTACTGTGTGGATCAGCTGTAGCACAGAAGTTGCAGAGTGACAAAGTGAGTGGCCGTGATACTAATCCTGCTTCCTATCCCCACAGAGAAGCCTCTAGTCTTGACTGCTGCATGTGCCAGATTTCTAGCAAGATATGGGGTGAGTGCGCCCCGACACTCCTCCACGGAGGGTGGCTCCCTGGGCTCAGATGCCCTGACGACCTCCCGTCTCCAGCCACCCATGCCTTCCCCCACAAGCATTTGCTGAGCACCCTCTGCGAGTCTGTCTCTCTCTTCACTGTCAGGAGAAGGAAGAAGATGTGTGAACCTTTCACCGCTGCGCTGCATCTAATGGCTTCATAGAGGAATGTGGAACGTGTGGGGGCAGCACAGGGAAAAGGAGACGAGTACTTCAGAGGAGACCACATGTGGGCTGGGTCCTGCAGGATGAATAGGAGTTTGCCAGGTAGAGTAGGCATTCCATGCAGAGGGAAGAGCACATGCAAAAGCTCAGGAGCAAGTGAACAAGTGTGGCTGGGTTATGAGAAGGTAAGGGAGGTCCAGTTATGAAGAGACTGGGATGCCTTTCATAAGGGACTTAGCAAAGGTCTCCTGAGGGCTGACACGACCGGACCTGGGTCCTAGTACCCTCGCTTCGGGACCTGAGCACAGGGAGGAGAGCCCAGAAACTCACCTGAAGAATCCCCAGATGCCCAGACGGTACTGAATGGTCACCACCACCACGTTCTCATGGGCAGAGAGGGCCAGGCCATCATAGGTTGAGGCCCCGCCCACCACGAGACCACCTCCGTGGATCCACACCATCACCTGGGCAGGGAGGGACAGCCACACTGGTTATAGGAAGCAGAGCTGGGAAGGACTCAGAGGTTGTCTCATTTGATGTCCTAGTTATTGGCCATGACTCAAGCAGGCCGTTGCCCAAAGTCCACCAGCGCCCAGAAGTGCTACAAAAAGCAATATCTTTCCTTCCTGACCCTTCAAAGCATGGCCTAGGCTGGCACCCCATTCTACACTCCCTGGTTCTCCTGCCTCACTCCCCATCCACAGTGCCACCTCTCCCGACCCCAGGTCCTTCATGCTGAGCACATCACCACGAGAATAATAGCAAAGGCTAAGGATGCCCTGTTCTCCCTGACGCTCCTGTCACCCTCATGCTGGACCTTGCAGCCAGCTCTGCATAGACACAGAGCAGCGCTTGCATTGCAGCTGCCTCCCAGTCAAGTCTTCTGTGCTGAATTACACCTGTGCACAGGGGATTGTCTCAATAAGCACACATGTCCCTATGTATCTCTTCCTAATATGCCTCCTTTCTGCCTCCTCTCCTTCTCCAAATCCTACCCACCCTGCAAAGCCCAGCCTAGAATCCACCTAGAATCCATTCCAGAAACTCTTCCAACACTTGACCAACATTATCTGTGAACCTGCTATGTTCCGGGGACTGTGATAGGAAGTGAAGGTGAGAGTGGACACAACGATTCACCATTCATGGTTCTCACATTTAAAGAGCTCACATAACAGGGAAGCAGTGGGAGGGACTAAAATAATTATTAATATACTGTATTAATAATATAATAATAATAACAGTTAGTTTTAAAAATGAACTTACAATATAAACTATGCTCCCAGTACTGTCTAAGCACTTTAAAATAAACCATCCATGAGGTAGATACCAATGTTGTACTGTTTGACAGGTTGGAAAACTGAGGCACCTAACCTGCCCAAGGTCACACAGCCCAGTGGTAGAAGCAGGACTGGGACCCACACAGTTGGTTCCATGTCCAGGTGCTGAGCTGCCCCAGCACACTGCAGCCAGTGGCCACAGCGCAGCACGTCTGCTGTCAGGTGGGGTAGGATACCCCCTTCCCCTCTGAGGTGTCACAAGTGCTTGCTTTTCATGTTTATCCAGGGGCGGAGACAAAGCTAGGCAGTGAGCATGGAGCACTCACACCTGCTGCCTCCCATTTCCAGGAAACAGAGGGTTAGAGAAGTTAAGAAATCGCTGACATCTCTCAGCTAGTCAAAGCAGAAGCAGGATTCAAACCCAGACCCTGCAGTTCTGGAACCCATGTCCGTACTAGAGGTTCTTCTGCCTGCAGCTCCCAGAGCCCCTGTTTGTCTGATCCCTGCCTCCCTCCTAGGGACGGGCTGAGGTTACTGTCATCTTTGAGTGACAGCTGAGCCCACGGGCTGGGCTTCGGTAACATGCTGAAGTCAGCATGTGTCTGTGCAGCCCGAGGGCAGGATCCCTGAGGGTGGGGCTGCTGGAAGTGGTTTCATGTTCCTCCTTCCCCGAACCCCAAGTCTAACCTTGCATTGGGGACACTGAGTACAAAGTAGAAGAATGAATGAATGAGGGAGGGAGGGAGGGAGTGAGCCTGTGTCCCCACTTCCTTGAGCCTTACAAAGCACATGTGGGCCAACACCTAGTCCCAAGTTCACAGACCTCCTCCCCCACTCCCAGTACCGTGCCAGGGTGCTCCTGGGACACTGGCTGGGTGCTGGCACCCTCCCCTGTCCACCCCTGCCATCACCTCCTTTTCCAGCAGAACCTCCCCTCCCCCATGACCCAGCCTGCAGCTGGCAGCCTGCCCATCTCTGGCCCTTCAATTATTTGGGCAATGCTGACTCACTGAGTCACCAGCCTATGCCAAAAACTATTAGGGAGGGAAATTAGCTGCATAAAATAACAGATGCTTTGCCAAAGGCAAAAGAAAGAGCTTCTGGGATTCTCTATCCCAGGCTCTGTCCCACACCTCTGTTACAGGATGGTGAAAGTTGTCACAGGTGGACCTTGGTGTGCTGGGGAAAGGCCACACACATGCTCAATGTCCTACTCCATGCCAAAGAACACTGGTTTGAAGATCAAAAAGCCTGAGCTCTGGTCCTGCCAGCCCCACTGCACAACCTCCACATTCCCCCATTTGGGCCTCAGTTTCTCTATATGTAATAGTAGAGTTGGGTCATTGGCTTTTCTTTAAGACCCCTTTCAGGTCTAACATTACTGGATATTATATCTCAACTGCTCTGAGCATCAGAGTAATCACTCTTGTCCTTCGGTTAGCATGAGAGAACTTAGGACAATTAAGACGTGCCTTACAGATGTATAGCAAAGTCCTCCAGTGGTTCCATGTCACTAGGGGAAGTGACATGTGGAAACTTGTGTTTCCCGTGTGAGCCTGCAGCCCCTGAGCAGCCCTGGCCATGCTGTCCCCTCCCCAGCTGCCTCCACCTGCACCCCAGCTGAGGAGGTGAATCGCTGATGCATGTAGGTGTCTAAGGTTCCCTGTGAGGCCAACTGGAACCTTTGGGCTGTTTTGCCCAGCCGGGCCTGGGTGACTGGGCACATCCACCATTGCTCTGCTCGTCAGTAGGTAGCTAGACACGCCTGGACGTTGAGAGCTAGTGAAAGCAACACGCTGGTACATTCCCCACACACGCCCCTCCCCACCACCCCCCAACTGTGACAAAGGGCAAGACAAGAGAATAAGAGGACCATTACTACTGACCTCCCTCACCTGCTCAACTGTTCCTTTCTATTCCAATGCATTTGTCACATTCTAACATGTCACATTATTCATTTACTAATTTGCATATGATTACTGTCTGTCTCACTGCACCAGAAGACCCCGTGGTAGTGGAAACAGCACGTCTGGGCCAGGGGTTCCCACCGCTTACCGGCAGCCTGCTGTTCTTCCTCAAGTCAGCAGGAGTGTAAATATTCAGGTAAAGACAGTCTTCGGAAAATGTGAGAAGAATGTTCTCCTTTCTGTTGGTAATGAGATTGGAGACCATCTGCCCTGCTACTGGGTCCTGGGGGCACCTGGGGAGGGGAGAAAGAGGAACTCCTCAGATTCAACCAGACCTGAGCAAGGTGTCTCCCAGGGCTGGGCCTGGAGCCTGTAATTGGACTTGCTGTTGCCAGACCAAAGACTCTGGAATGCAAAAGAGGCATCTGGGGTCCAGGTGGGGCCCCAGGACTCACTAAGGCCTCTCAAGGCCAAGCAGAGTGAGATGGGCTTGGCACCTCTCCCCTTCCCAGGGCTTTGGGATGCCCTGGCTCAAGGAGAGGAGACTGCAGAGATGCTGACCTTCCCTGGGAGGTGACATTTCCCACTGTCTGTGGGGCGCTAGATGGTGGCTGCAGGGTGACCCTGTTCCTCCACCAGGTAAACATGTTCCAGTCTGGAAGAAGTATGGAAGTCCAGCATGGAAGAAGACTTCCATACACCATGAGAAGTCACTCAAGTGGCAGACAAATATTTAGGGTCTCCAACAGGTCAGGGGTATAATCTTTGTGGGACAACATCTCCATTCTAGTCCTGCCTCAGCCACTCATTTGCTGAGTAACATTGAGTGAATTCCTTTCCTGCTCTGGGCCCCAATCTGCCTGGTGTAAGTGAGGGGAGTGATTTCTAGAATGGTCTTGCAGCTCTGACATGCCAGGGTTCCATTATCAAGCCGTCCCTGGCAAGGGTTATTGGTTGCCCTGATGAAAGATCTCAAAGATCCAATGTAGACAAAAACTGGTAATATTCATTGAGTCTTCCAAGTGTGCCAGGCACTGTTTTAAGTACTCTTTATGTACTAATGTCTTTAGGCCTCAGGTCAGTCCCATTACGTAGGTTCTATTATTATCCCCATTATACAGATGAAAAACCTGAGGCACAGAGAAGTTAGAGAACCTGCCCAGGGCCACATAGCCAGGAAGATCCACACTATGTGGGATCTACATTTCCGAGCACACTATAAGCAATGTTCCTAGATCTCAATGTACCCAGGAGGTCTCTCACAAAAATTAACTCAAGCTGGGTAACAGACTTGAACCTTAGGTGTGAAACTATTAGAATTCTAGAGGAAAACATTGGAAATACTCTTCTAGACATTGGCCTAGGCAAAGAATTTATGAAGAAGACCCCAAAGGCAATCACAGCAGCAACAAAAATAAATAAATGGGACCTGATCAAATTACAAAGCTTCTCCACAGCCAGAGAAACTGTCAAGAGAGCAAACAGACAACACACAGAATGGGAGAAAATTTTTGCAAGCTACACATCCAATAAAGGGCTGATAACTAGAATCTATTTAGAACTCAGGAAAATAAGCAAGAAAAAAATCAAACAACCTTATCAAAAAAATGGGCAAAGGACATGAGCAGAAACTTTTCAAAAGAAGACAGAATAATGGCCAACAAACATATGAAAAAATGCTCAACATCTCTAATCATCAGGTAAATGCAAATCAAAACCACAATGAGATATCATTTAACTCCAGTGAGAATGGCCTTTATCAAAAAGTCCCAAAACAATAAATGTTGGCATGGATGCAGAGAGACAGGAGCACTCTTATACTGCTGGTGGGACTGCAAACTAGTTCAACCTCTGTGGAAAGCAATATGGAGATACCTTAAAGCAATACAAGTAGATCTAACATTTGATCCAGCAATTCCACTACTGGGCATCTACCCAAATGATCAAATGACTCTCTACAAAAAAGACACCTGCACTCGAATGTTTATAGCAGCACAATTCACAATCACAAAGTTGTGGAAACAACCCAAGTGTCCATCAATTCATGGGTGGATTAATAAAATGTGGTATATGTATATACCATGGAGTACTATTCAGCTCTAAGAAACAATGGTGATATAGCACCTCTTGTATATTCCTGGATAGAGCTGGAACCCATTCTACTAAGTGAAGTATCTCAAGAATGGAAAAACAAGCACCACATGTACTCACCAGCAAATTGATATTAACAGATCAACATCTCAGTGGACATATAGGAATAACGTTTAGGGTGTCAGGCAGATGGGAGGAAGGAGGAGGGGATGGGTATATACAAACACAATGAGTGGGGTATGCAATGTTTGGGGGATGGTCACACTTGAAGCTCTGACTGGAGGGGGGAGTGGGGAATGGGCAATATACATAACCTTAACACTTGTAACCCCATAATACGCTAAAATAAGAAAAAAAAGACTCTCAATATACCCAGGAGGTTGCATCGCAGCCCCACTGTGCACGTCAGAATGGAGGGACTCATGGGCCAGGACAACACAGCTGTCAGGTAGCAAAATCAGAGTCAACAAAGTGACTTCCTGATTTCCATTCAGGAGATTTGTCCCCAGATCAGCAAGAATAAGAGCAGAATATTCAGAAAAAAAAATTCAAATGTCAAAAAAGAAAGTGTTCAACTTCACTAGTACTCAGATAAATGCAAACTAAAAAGCAAAATAATTGTTTATTATTATTGTTTTGCCTATCCAATACCTAAAAATCATTATTTTAATATCACTAAATATTGGCAAGAGTCCAGTGAATGGAGGTTTCTTATATCAATGGAAGGAATGTAGTTGGAACATTTCTGGAGGGAAATTTAACAAGCACAGAATACTTTTGACTCAGAAATACCATTTCTTGAAACTTTTTCTAAAATATTCTTGTATGTGCATAAAGATTTAATACAGGATGTTCACCACAGTGTTATTCATATTATCAAAAAATCAAAAACAACTTAATGACTCTAAGTATCAAATTGAGTAAATTAATTCTGATTCAATACTCAGTGTAATGGGGATATCCAATGTCAGCCTGTGTTATTTAATGGCATAGGTTGATGTTCATGATGTACTTATTAATGAGCAAGGCAGGCATCCAAACTATCTAAAGTGTGCAACAGACAAAAGACTGGGAAAACGTGATCTAAAATATGACCAGCAATTCTCTCTGACTGGTGGAATTGACCATGACTTTAATTTCCTTACTTTTCCTTCTCTGTGCTTCCTAGATTTTCTGTAATAAGTATGTAGTACATTTGCAATAAGAAAATAAAAACTGAATATTATTCTTAAGAGAAAGGAAAGGAAGGGAAGGAGAGAAGGCAGCCAGAGGTGGGCCCTGGAAATCCTGAGAAATGTCTTGCTGTGGAGGTGAATCATTGATGCATGTAGATGTCTGAGGTGCCCCAGGGGGCAGCTGTAAGGAAGACTGTAACCTGTGGGCTGTTTTGCCCAGCTTGGCCTGGGTGTTAGGGCACATCCACCATTGCTCTGCTCGTCAGTAGGTAGCTAGACATGCCTGGGCATTGAGGGCTTGTGAAAACAACACGCCTTTACATTCCCCACCCACACACACCCCCACCCACACCCCCAACTGTGCCAATGGGCAAGACAAGAGAATAAGAGGACCATTACTTCTGACCTCCCTCACCTGCTCAACTGTTCCGTTCTATTCCAATGCATTTGTCATATTCTAACATGTCACATTATTCATTTACTAATTTGCATATGATTATTGTCTGTCTCACTGTGCTATAACACAAGCTACCTGAAGCTAGGGATTTTACTTTTATTCATTAATGGATCCCCAAAAACCTAGAACATGCCTGGTACCCAGTAGGTGCTCGATAAATATGTGTTGATTATTAGACTCTAGCATAAATCTGAGAATTCTGGAATGTTCTTAACGTTCCACAGTATTCTTAAGGATTCCAGAACAAAGTACAAGCCACTTAACGTTCCACAGTATTCTTAAGGATTCCGGAACAAAGTACAAGCCAATCAGGGGATTGCGGGACTCCGCCCTGCATCACTTTGGGGCAAACCTCCCCACTGAAAGGTGCCAACGCCAACCCCACAGGCTTACATGGGCGGGTAGGAGGTGGTGTTCTTCACAAAGTGCCACGGCTCTGCAGGCTGCGGCGGAGCAAACCTCAGGGATCCGAGCGGGGGCTTGGCAAAGGGCACTCCCAGGAACACGGCCACAGGCTGTGAGAATCCTTCCAGGTGGACGTGCTTCCCCCGGACTTTGCCATGCACGGTGGCCACCACAGGCGGCGAGGACGGGCGACCTGCTGGACAGTGAGAGGAAATGAGGACACGTCGCAGCTGCAAGGCTTGACCTGGATTCCAGGGGGCGTTTGCCACTTTATAGGCATCTGACCTTGAATAAGTCACTTAAGCCCTCAGGGCCTCAGTTTCTTCCAATGTGAAAAAGGGGTGAGGGTCACTGTCCTTCCTAACTCACAGAGCTGTTTTAAGGAGCAAATTGGAATGGGAGGTGGAAAAGCATGGAATGAAAAACAAATGCAAGAAGGAGAGCTGCTGGGAAGAACAGGTCACTTGGTCTCCCTCTGAGAAGCCTCTGGAACATTCATCTATTACATCCTGCACTGGGCCGCATGCAGGGTGACAGGTGAACAGGAGGTGGCCCCTGGTCCCAGGACCACTGAACCTCACAGGGAGAATGAGCCACATACACACTCGAGCCTATATCCGGGAAGAAAGTGGTGGTGTCCTGGGAGAGGGACCTGTCAGGGGCTTCAGGAGGTAGAAGAGGGGCGAGGCCATCTGACTGGGGGCACGTGGAGGGGCTGGGACTTGCAGCAGGAGGGGCTGAATGAGGGGAGATGAAAGCAGGGGCTGGTGTGAAGCAGAGAGGAGAGAACGTGTCAGAGACAGCAAGATGCAGAGCCTGCCCGGGCAGGGCGAGTGGCCCGTGGGCACCAGGTGGAGGCTATGGGGAGAGGAAAATGACCCTGAGGTGACAGAGTTGCGGGTCAGGGAGGGCCCAGAATGCCAGGCTAAAGGCTGGGGTTTTATTTCACAGAAAAGTAAGCAGCGGGAGGTGTTCTGGAGGAAGGCACACAAGCTTGAGGAGGACTCTGCTATGGCTCAGAGAGGGACATGCAGAGGAGAGAGACGGGGGCAGAGTCCCGGCTGCTCCTCTCTGCAGAGCAGACCATTCTTCCCCCTGAGCTGACGTCCATGTCCCTGCAGCTTCCGAATCAGTCCTGGTTCCACCTGCCAGGGGACCAAGCTAATGTGACCTTCCGGGGCAGGTGGCCTTTCAGACACTTGATCATGCCACCCCCCCTCCCAGTCCTGTCTGGCCTCAGTGACCTTGATTTCTCTAAGCATCCTTCCCAGGATATTGTTTCCAGCCTCTTGTCCTCCCTGTTGAGCTGCTTTGGATACAGACAAACATCCAACATGTCTTTCAGTGTGTGTGGCCAGAACAGAAAAGAATAATCCAGATTTGGTCTCATAGGAGATTACCCAATGACATTAGAAACTCCTTATGCAAAAACTCCTTATGGTTACAAAACAGTATCTATGCCTCCTGTTATTAATAGCTAATCCTATACTGTGGACATTTAGGTTGTTATTTACTTTTGTCATTGCCAATTAAGACAACACTGAGATTAACTTCTTTGGAAGGCTATTCAATGAAGTAGCAATGATGTGGCCTTGCAGGTGACGTGTTTCGTTTGTGATTTCCAAGTTTTCTGCCCGAAACACAGATTCATTTTTATTATTAGAAGACATTTTTATGAAGAAATATTGCAATGCCTGTACAGGATTTTTGAAGGTCTCAGTCCTTGAGCAGATGTGGGGGACGTGAGAGGGAAGGAGATGCAAGAGCTGCTTGTGAGGCTGGCCCCAATTCAGACAGGGTCAGCGTCGGTGTCAGGGACAGATCCTGACAGAGATCCCACAGGACGTGGGCACTTAAGAGTGGAAGAAGGTTGGGTGAGGGGCAGAGTAGGTTCATCTTCCAGAGCGTGAGATGAGCGCCATCCATGTGGTGGCTTCACTCAAGAGGCCAGAGTGAGAGAGAAGAGAAAGAACTAACGATAAAACAGGGACAGCTACAACCGAGACTGAGAACATCCATCAGAGTCTCAGCAGGAAAACACCAGGCCTCACGGAAGCCCAGGAGAGAGGAGGAGGGTAAAGTACAGAGAATAACATACTAGGCCTGGCCTTTGTCAGCTCGGTGATAACCTTCAAAGGGGAGAGGAGGTCAGAAGCCAGAATGCCAAGGGTAGAAAGGCAGGGGGAGGGGTGGGAAGACACAGTCAAGAATGAGAACAACAGCAGTCACCACTATGTTTATATGTAGTGTGTACACAGTGGGCATTTGCTACGTGCCAGACATACATTCCAATTCATTTAAATTAATCCTCATCACCCTCTTAGCATAGCCAGCAGTGTGGCAGTCTCATAAATTAGCCCTAGAAAAATACTGCTAGGTAGGCATCAACGTGCCCATTTTACAGATGAGGAAACTGAGGAAGTGGTAGCACCGTGCAAGGACTTGCTAAAGATGGAAATGGATGGCACTGCCTGGGGTAACCAGAGGTGAAGGAATATTCCAGTCCATATTTGGTTCCTTTCTTACTCTGCCCTTACACGCAGTTCCAGGCTGTCTCTCACAGAGTCTCCCTGTCATAAAGACAGAACCCAGACAGGGCCTGGGCTGTCAGGGTTAATGGGGGACCCCTGGCTCTGGATGCAGGAGCCAGACATAGAACAGGGCGCGGTTACACAGGTAACCTTGAGCAAGTACATTCTTCTTTGGGAGTCTCAGTGTCTCCATCTACAAAATGGCACAGATGTAGCTCGAGGTCCCTCGCTGCCCCCTGCATTTCCCACGTCTGCCACTGTCTGTATTTTCAGCATTGCCACTGAGGCCTTGCTGGTTCTGGAGGCACTGTCCCTCCCGGGTCCAACCATCCCAGAGCCCACACGCCAACCACCTCCTTGATAGGTTCCTACACCCTGGGCCACCATCCACCTGCCCTAGTCACTCCAGAGCCAGTGCCAGACAACTAGGGACAGCCCTGTGCCCCTAAAGCCCCCCTGAAATTACTCAGTAGCCAGTGCTAAGCCTGCTACCTCGCCTTGCCTCTTCCAGTAGAATCCTAATAAAAGCTCTTGCCCACCCACCCCCCTGCTCTGGAGTTTCCCCTTGTGCCCCACCCCCACCCCAGTTTGTGCCCCTCCTCTGAGACTATGAGTAACAAACTGTCTTTTCAATGGCAATTGGCTCCTTATACATTGCTCTGACCATACCTCAAATTTTCTACCAGTGCACATGTAACAACACTCCTTTATTTACCCATCCTTTTCCTGCACTTCCTCTGTACCAAGCACTGTCCTAAGTGCTTTAGAAACATCCTATGTCATCCCCACATCAGCCCAATGAGGTAGGTACTGTCAACGTCCCCATGTTAGAGACGGGGTAACTGAAGCAAAGACATGTTAACTATCTTGCCTAGAGTCACACAGCTAGGAGTGCCCAGGCAGGATTCAAACCCAGGCACCAGAGTCCTTGCTTTCATATTCTGCTATGCTATCCTATAGTAATTGGCTATATCTGGACCAATAGTCACGGGGAAATTAAGCTGAGCTCCCCACATTCCTCCTGTGTGAGGCATGAGGTTTGCCTGGCACCCTCCTGCCTGTGGCACCCGCAGCTGTGGTCTAGGAGTGTTGTCTCTCCTCCCTGCGCCTCAGCGATGGCCGAGGCTGGCTGCTCCGCCGATCCAAGTCCAGAGTTGGGCACCTCTGCAGAACCAGACCTGTAGTGCCTTTTGCCTGTACGTATCTGTGCCCACCTCAGCCCAGCACAAGGATTTCCATGCGCCCCTGATATATGCATTTCAGAGGAACTCACCCCAAACGCAGGAAGTGGTTACAGTGGCCAGGAAGAGAGCACAGAGCCACATCGCGAAGGACAGCAGCTCCCAGGGTCTGTGAGCTGTCCGGGTCTAGGTGCTGTGCTGATGGCTGTGCCTTCCTGCCCCACAGCCCAAGCGCCTGCCACTGGGCTCCCACCCCCACAGCCCAGTGATCCAGTCAGGGACAACAGAAAAGCTCTCTCCACTGTCAATGACCGCCCTGGAGGTCTGTTGGGACTGCAAAACCACTCCCATCTACACTTCACTCTCTTCTATTTAAATCCTTTACAGAGAGCCACAGACTTGCCAAACAGCTTGTTACATAAGGGTTTGCCCTTTGTGGGACTCTGACCTTAGGGCACTGGGAGGTTCCCGAAGGCCAGGCACAAGCAGGCAGGTGCCTTCAGGCAAGAAGGAGCTTAGGTCCACACAATGAACTTAACAATATTTATAGCAACTGACAGCCATACAAGGGCTCAGCTGGGCAACTGAGGGCACATCTCTTAGCTTCCCTGGGCTTATATTTCACAGAGTTCAAGGCTCTTAAGTTTCAAAATGATCTTAAATCCCATCTAGTCCCCTTCTGATACCTAAAGTTACTGTACAGTGTTCTTCCCACCTGACCTGGCTTCCTGTCACACAACTCCAGGGTCAGGGAACTCACAACTCTCAAAGCAAGGATTTTTGGACAGAAGGTAAAAATGAACGTTATTTCTCCACAGTCCCTCGCTATAACCACCCATCCGTGTATCCATTCATTCTTTGAACATTTCCCAAAATGCCCGACACTTGGGCGGGTGTTATGGACACGAAGGCAAACTCAAGACAGAGTTCATCCTATCAAGGAGCTCACGATTAGTAGTAAGACAGATGTGTGTGTGGGGAGGGGGGGCTTGCAATGCTTCTGAAAGCACCAAATTGGGGGGTACAAAGTGCTCTGGGTACACCTGGGAAAGTGCCATTTACAAGCTGCTGGGGACACAAGGAAGACACTCGAAGGCCTCTTTCCTAGGATCATCAAATGTCCAACAATATGGAATCTTTAAATACACCCTGGTACAGCTGGTTAAGGAAATATTATGTTCTCACTCAAAGTAGTGATACACATGCGTATATATTGACAAGGAAAAACAGTTACAATCTAGTGGGAAAGGATCAAAAAAGGTGATAAAACTATTGTGCCTGCTTTGGGAAACGGTTTTACAGGTCCTGGAAAAGTTAAGCACAGAGTTACCATGTGACCCAGCAATTCCACTCCTAAGGTAGATTATCAAGAAAATTGAAAATGTGTTCATAAAAAACTTGTAGTCAAATAATAGTATATTCATAATAGCAAAACAGTGAAAACACCCCAAATGCCCATCAACTGATGAATGCATGAATAACATGAGGTCTATCTGTATAGTGAAATATCACTCACCTATGAAAACAACATGCTATAAGACAGATGAAACTTGAAAACACTATGCTCAGTGAAAGAAGCTAGGCACAAAAGACAGCATATTGTACGGTTATTTTTACATGAAATTTCCAGAATGGACAAGTCAGTGGGGACGGAAAGTAGATCAGTGGTTGCCGGGTGCTGGGAAGAGGGAAATGAGGGGGACGCAGAGTGACTGCTAATGGGCATCGGGTTTCTTTTTGGGGCAGTAAAAATATTCTGGGATAGATGATGGGGATGTTTGCACAACCTTATGAATATACTAAAGCAATGTATATCTACTAGCAATATACATCTTTACTTGCATAGGAAAATTCTGTAAGATTAGACATCTAATTAGTATTATAAGAACTGTAGTGGTAATATTGTATTTTTACTTATCTGTACTTTCCATTTTTATTATTCATACATTCACTTAACAAATATTTATTGAGTGCTCCCTGGCGGGCAAATACTGGGAGTTTTGTGTACAGGATCTCCGTTCTCAAAACACCCCTGTGAAATTGGTCCTAGGATCTCCTGAAGCTCAGTGTGGTTAAGGACCTGCTGGGAGGTCACACATCCAGTAGGAGGCGCTAAGCACTGCACACAGGCTGCGTGGCTGCACAGCCCACATGCTTAAGCCCTCTGCTTTGGTGTCCATTCATGACAAACCACCTTTGTTGTTGCCCAAGCACAAGCTTGATGGCCTGCGGGAATCTCCTGCAGCCTCTCCCTTCTGGCTTCTCCTCCCTCCACCTCCCCCCTGCACAGTAACCCTGCCTCCCTGCTGATCCCTCTGGGTCCTCCAGGTTGCCAGGAAGGGTAGCGAGCTGCCTGCAGCCTGGAGCTACGCAGAGGGCCAGAGGGCGGTAGACGGTTGGAGATGGGAGCACTAGGGTTCTTGGGAGATAAATACCTCCGTGTATTCTGTTCCCACAGTCTATTCTTAGGATTAAGCTCCAGGCACCCACAGTGGGATCGGACTTCATATCGGACCCTTGACTGGCTGTTTTCCCTTCCCCACCTCACCTTCCCTCTCCCATTCCTGTCTCCTGCTTGTGCTTCAATCCCTGACTCAGTTTGCTTCTGGGGAAAGACAAAGGGTCCTTAGCCCTGTAGCCAAATGACCCACGTGGTCTGTTATGGGTTGAACTGGGTCCAGCCAATATTCATATGGGGAAGCCCTAAACCTCAGTAACTCAGAATGTGACTACATTTGGATACAGGGACTTTAAAGAGGTGATCACACTAAAATAAGATCACTAGAGTGAACCCTAAACCAGTCTGACTGGTGTCCTAACATGAAGAGGAAATTTGTACCCAGAGAGATGCCAGGGACACGTGTGCACAGAGGGGTGACCATGTGAACACTCAGCAAGAAGGTGGCCTCCTGAAAGCCAGGGAGGAAGGGCTCAGAGGAGCCCAACCCTGCCATCACCTTGAACTTGTACTCCCAGCCTCCAGACTATGAGAAAACTAATATCTGTTGTTTAAATCACCCATTCTGTGACATTTCACTCTGGCAGCCTGAGCCAACTAATCCGTAGTCCCAACTCCATTCCTTTCTTCATGTCCAGAGGAGACTAAGGCCCAGAGCTGGGAAGGGCTGCCTCAGCTCACACAGCAACTTGATGGCAAAGTCAGGACCAGAAAGGAGGCTTTGACTTCTGCCATGTCATGGATGAAATGGACGGCAGCCATTTCTCTTGCTTCGACACACTGGGGCAGTGTTCTAACTGCCAACCTTATCACGGGGCAAAACACCTTGATCTTGTCCACAGTGGCATAGCCAGTTCACTGGTCCAGGGTGAGGGTGGTAGGGTGGAGGGGTTAGAAAAGGCCAGAGGAGGAGGCGGGTGCCTGGAGAGCTGTGTTCTGTTTCCACTGTCATTTGGCAAGCTTGGGCAGACCAATACTGATATCAGGAAGGATTGGGCAACCAGCAGCCATAATGCACATGCCAATCCCAGAGATGTCCATGGGTTCTTGCCCAAGGCCGTAGGTTGTAGCTGAAAAGAAGTTTCTGGAAACTCACATTCAAAAAGGGATACTCATTAGCACTCAATCTAGCCATGTGGCAGGCTGGTGAGGGAGCTCTGTGGTGGAGGTGGGGACTTGGTGACAGCATTAGAATCAGTCTCCAGAGGTAACTGGCCTGGTCTAGAGTTCCTTCCCTCCATTAGTTTAATGAAAAAAAAAAACACAGCTAATAAGGAGCATGCTTTAAAGTTGTACACCATCTAAAATGATGTTACTTATTAACTCCAGCAATAAGTGCACTATACTTTGATTAACATTGAGCTTTGCTATTTCTTTGATTCAAATCTCAAGAGCCTACTTGCAAATGCATTCCCTATAAATGCATTACTCTACAATGTCTTCTGCTGTGCACTGAAGAATAAAAAAAAGAACAAGGGTGATTCCGAAAAATATATAAAAATTTAGAACCAGGAAAGCTAAATTTCAATTACAATGTATAAAAGGCTTAAACAATTCAAACTATAGGTTATATTATAAATGCCTTGGTGAATAAAGTGACCCCAGTATAGCGAGGTGTTTTGTGTTTTCCTGCCCTGAGAATTATCGGTGTTCATATGCATGAATGCCCAGAACTGTCTGTGGTATCTCCTGATGGGACTGGGCATTAAGAGATGGGCAGGATTTGGAGAAGCAGAGGAGACATTGGCAGTGGAACAAGGTAGGTTTAGGGGCTGCTTGGGGAGGCCAATGGTACTGGGCGTGTGAATAGTGGACAGAGATCGTGATTGCAAACTAAAGGAAGAGACTTCATCCCTGGACAATGGGGAGCATTGAAAGGCTTTAACCCTGGAAATGACAAATGACAAGGACATTTCAGAAAGTAGAATCTGGCAGAAGCAGACAAGCCATTTGGAGGATCAGCAGGGTTAGTCTGAAGGGAAACCTCCTAAACACTGTGTAGGAGGATGGAGGGTGAGCTCCCCTTTCCAAAGATGGTTAAGTTGTCTGCGTGTGAAAGCTTGGCCTTTTGGGTTCACAGAGGACTCAACAAGAATAAAGCACATAAGTTCTCTAAAAATCTGGAGGGCACAAAGCTTGGCCATTGGCAGTCATCTCCTGATCTGTCGTCCTTGCCATAGCTAAATAATAATACAAGCTATATTTGAAAACACATTCTCTAGAAATAATTCTGAACGAGCACAAAGATAAATGTATTAGATGCTAACCTCAGTGAACTTGACAATAATAAAAATTATAATAATTTGAAAAACCAAAACTAGTAACTGGTTATATGATTTGTTGAGTAGTCATAACATAGGATGCAATGTAACCATCAGAAATATAGAGAAATATTTTTGTTAAATGTTTTTTTGTAAAGAAGCAGTTTACTACTTCCTGTGAAAGACAAGTTCCTTTCCAGGGCCTCTATGGAACAATCAATTTCCTTGTCTTCTAGAGACCCCCTGAGCGCCGTCTGTTGTCGCCTTCCATGTTCAAACCCAGAAATGGCCTGCCGAGTTTTTCTCACTTCCGCCTGCCCCTTCCACATTTAAAGGTCCCTTGTCAGTACACTGGACCCACCTGCATTATCCAGGACAATGTCCTCATTTTAGCTACCTTAATAGCTAAAATACCTTCGTACCCTGAGAACACAACATATTCACAGGTTCCAGGAATCAGGGTGTCCATATTCCAGGGGACCATTATTCTGCCTATCACACTCCCCTTCTGCCTCCATAGGTATTTCCCCCAATAAATCTCTTGCACATCTTGTCCTATCCAGCCTTCTCCTTATCTGGGGACTCAACTAAGGCAAGTGGAGCCAGAAGTGGTTTGAGAAAACAGATTTTGGGACT